ATGTTGTAGCGGTGGTGCGGGCGCTGCGTCGCAGGGGCGTTCCTTTCCGAGCAGCTCTCCAGACGGCGTACCTGGGCGTGGACCTCAGCAGTGGGAGACGCCAGGGACGCGCCACCGTGCGGCAGAGGCAGCTGAAGTCGGGTCAGTCTCATGCTCGTCTGCGCCGTTTTTCGCACAGGCCGCTCGCCGATGGCAGGCCTCTGCCACGCTTCAGCGGGCAGGGCCGTAGGCGGTGGCCATCTACGGACACCGTGTCTATGGAGTCTTCGGGTCGACGGTGTTGGCCCACCGCCGCCGACCAGGGGCGGCGGCTGGCTCGTCGAAGCGCGGCAGATGTCTCTGACAACCCCCTTATCGATCAGATTGCTTGGCTGTGGCGCAGGTCGTCAACTACCCATCGTAGGCCTAGAGGTTGACACCAACACCAAGATCGGCGGTGTGCCTCCACCGAGGGAAGACGATCCGATCTCGGCGATGGTGATAATATTCCGGCTTCTAAGGTGACCGAAATACTACCATCAACACCGAAATCTAGGATCATCTTCCCCATGTGGAGGCCACCTCCTGTGCTGGTGTTGGTGCCCATTTCCAGGCCTCCAATACCTAGACAATGTCTTTCACAATGGTTGGCAGTCTGGCTCCCTGAGACCAGGCTGAAGAGATCGATCGAGTTGGCGTGGCCGAAAGCTGTGGCACACCCGCGTTCCCTCCCTCTCGGGCCGCGCGTGCGACATGTCAGAGGCCCGATGACGGCGGCGATGTTATATTTGCTCGAAGCTGGATGGTCGCCAGACACTCCTACATATCGGGATGTGCCGTATGACCGTTTTTTTGCCGAAGCTCACGCATGGCAATTCGACAGCGAGGATTTCGAGGCGCTGGATCAGGCAACCCCTCTCCTGGATCAGTTGCAGCGAACGTACGAGCTGAGGCAGTGACAGGTCGCCTCTACTCGGTTCTGCAGTGGCGGATTGGAGGGAGGCGCGGACATGTGCTCGCTGCGCGCGATGGTCGTGGACTTGCTGCATGTGCAGAAGGACAGGCAGTTGTCGGAGTTCCTGGTAACGGTGGCTACGGGAGGCTATTTGCCGAAGGTGCGCAGCCACGAAGCAGGCTTCCGAGCGGACGATCTATGCGACCGATGCGGTGCCGAGCGGGATATTCCTCCCCACTGCTGTTGGACTTGTTCAACAAATCATGAATCTCGTGCTTATGATGCATCTAATGACTTGCTCCCGCAGGCTGTTGCTGAATCGAAGGCCTTCCCGTGTTTTGGTGTGAAAAGGTTAAACCCCTCCACTTGGACCTCCATACAGCCACCGCCGTCTTGGGAATGATGGTCTCAGGGCGGGGTGTCTTGGTGCAGGGACCTCTGCCGAGCCCCTAGTTGTGTTTCGGGGCGCCTCGTGGGGTCGTGACGCCCACGGCTCCCGACTGAGGCGTGTAGGCATCGGATTAGCGACGTTCACTAGCTTTGCTCCCTTGTCTCGGGGGCCCTTCTGGATGGGACTTCTTGCAGGCGTTGTACAGAGCGTACCCATAGGAGAGCTCAGGGCCTTCGAGTGGGCTCTGCGTTTTAGTGTCGGTGTTCCTTTGTATGGTACGGACTGTGACCAAGTTGCTCGAGGCTGGTACGCCGAACTTCTCCGCAGGCCCCAAGACCCACAGTCCGACATTTGGAGAGATTGTGGCAAGCTCTTGATTTCTCAGGGAATATCGCCCGCGTGCATAATAGCGGCGCAGGTTCCGTCTCACTTGTCTGGATCCGAAGTGCTCGCTCGGCGTATTCCCTCGTGGCTTGTGCTCGGGAGCCCTTGTGTGGATGCGATAGCGGGCGAGGCCGCCGCCCGAGCGCGGGTCTCGCCCGAAGAGCGGCATATTATTCTTAGCGTCGAGTGCCGTGCCCGTCTGGTTCGGGGGAGGTTGCTGCGAGTCGGCTTAGACTCCACTCGAGCATCTCATCTTTCTGGAGACCAGAGAGCTCGGGGTGCTGGCAGAGTCCCTGCCCCTCCCCCCCATTCCCGTCCATAGCTCTTGCACGTTTTCCGCGTCCGCACATACCCTGACCGAGAATCGGAGGGCGTGCAGCGTGTGTAAAGGCTCCGCGACTCGCGCGGTGGTGGCCGAATGCTAAAAAAACAGTGAGTGCGACCCTCTCCAGCATGTGAACAGTGAGCTGTGCCGAGTTCCTGGGGGACGGCGTTTGCATTTACTGGTGGTTGGGCTCATCCTTCACACGCCTTGGCCCATCAAACAGGCCTTAACATTTGGTTTTGCTTCACAGTGGCCTCTATGGACAGACCCAGCTCAGGGGTCTGGGGGAACCGTGCAAGCTTCCAATTTCGAAGGCCAAACGCGAGAATTTTGACAGGATAGCTCGTGGCCTGTTTCCGAAGTGCTGAGCATCATAGCCTGGTTATCACTACGTGATGGCGGAAATCCTGGAAGTCCTCCTCCTCCTCCTCCTCCATCTCCTCCTCCCCCTCCCCCTCATCCCCTT